CACGCAGAAACAGAGCTCGAGTTTTTCTACGTAGGCAGTTTTAGGACTGTTGGAGGCCTTTGATGGTAGTTCCTAGTTCTGCCATAGTGATACCATAGTGTGTGTGTGTGTGTGTGTGTGTTACATGTGTGTCACCTGTGTTACTACTGTGTTAATTTTGTTGTCCATGGGTTTAGGATTTGCTAGAAACTGTTTAGATAGGTCGGTTGCTTTTGACTACTTTTATAAAAAGATGAAGCCCTAGGGTCTTCTGCAGAGGTGGTATTCTACATGTCAGTGGTTCCACTCTGAGGCACGTCATTTGTACCCTGGTGCAGCTTGTCTTAGGGAGCACCTGTTCGTGGGCAGATTATTTAAACACCAGTGGAATCCATCAGTCTGCACCTGGGACATGCTTGCCTGTCTGGTCCTCGTGCTCACCTAGTCTATCTAGGACTGGCTAGGAAGCAGGTACACCTCAGCAGTTCTCTTCACTCGCTTGTTTCAAGTAGCATTAAGGGTTTTCTAAAGCCCGTCAAGATTCTCAAAAAGCGATAACGTAGTCAAGTTGGAGAAAGAAATACTTCTGGAGATCTGGTGGCCTTTGTGCAGCTGGGAATGGGAAGCCAGTCTCATGACAGTTTCCTTGTTCAGTTCTCCATTCTGGAGTGATCCGAGGTTTGCATTTCTTCTGAGAGGAGGTTCCTGACAGCACTACTGCTAGAACTGTTTCTTTAATTGTGAATTTATCATTTGTATTTGTATGAGAAAAGCAAAGAGGGTCCAGGTGCATTTGTGGATGTCACAGGACAGCTTTCAGAAGTCAGTTCCACTCCAGGATCTAGGATTGAACTCAGGCCATCAGGCTTTGGAGGCAAATGCTTCAGCCTCCTGGGCCATCCTGCCAACCCAACAGCTGGAACTTTTTCTGTACTATCTGTTGCCTATATCTGGTATATATCTGATCTAGTAGGTGTTTGGTGGTAACTAGCGATTTCTCAGTTCCAGTAGATTATGTTTGTATCCCAGACTGGCTTATAATTGTTCCCTGTGCTTCATTGGCATTAATATAAAATGATCATTTAGCAAAAGCAACAGTAATTGTTTCTTTCCAGAACTTTGATTCATTGGACATAAATTTCAAAGTAGAAATGATTTCTGAAGTAATACAATTATGTTTTGAGAATCTCCTCTTTGAAGGATAGCAAGATAGTTTTCTGGGCTTCAAAAGCAGTAAAAATGTGTTGTTTAAACTTTTTCTGTTACTGGAAATTATTTTGTGGGGTGTTTACAGTGAGGGTGGGCACTGTGCTGTTGGTTCCCTGTGTGCTCTGAGCTTGAGGGCTCGTAAGGGACCGATGCACCAGTAGACTTCCAGGTAGTCATAATGCTCACTGGAATCTGCATGGAGGGATCAGTAATTCTATTAGTAATAAAGTGTACGTTTTGCTCTTTCAAAATTTCTTTTTATTATGAGTGTTTTGCATACATGGGTCGGAGTGTACCCATGTCATAAAATGCCTGTAGACACCAGGAGCTGACATGGGATGCCTTAGAAGTAGAGTTACAGACAATTGTTAGCTGCTATTTGGGTGTTGGGTCCTCTGCAAGATCAGCCAGTGCTCTTAACTGCTAAGCCATCTCTCCAGCCCCCTTTTCTCTCTTTCATTTTTTCTCTTAGAAGTCATTGAAACTTGGTTCAGCTGAGTCTGGACATGTAGTTGCTGAGTCTGTTCTCCTTCCAGAGCTCATGGAGGCTTCACATGGTAAGTGTGTATTTACCATGTGAGTACACATGGTATTTTTCTTCATGCAAGTATAGGTTGCTCTGTTCACAGACATTTGTGATTAGTGTATCATTAAGTTCAGATTAGTAAAAGCAGTTTCCTATGTTTTAGGAATTCTTGACGCAGTAGAAAATATTTTGGAATTGTTGTTTTGTGACTTTTAACTACTATGTAAAAAAAATTAGGGCAGATGGGATGGCTTACCTGCTGCCAAGGCTGATAGTCTGAGTTTAATCCCCTAAACCCACATGGTAGAGGGAGAGAACCGATTCCTACAAGTTGTCCTCTGACCTCCACATGTACTCTGTGGCGTGCCCTCCCCCCAAATGTTTTTTGTTTTGTTTTGTTTTTTTAATTAAAGGAAAAAAAAGAGTTAGTGAAGTAGTTCCAAACCATGGGTAATGGTATAAAGAGTAGGCCAGCCAGGCATGGTGCTGCTTGCCCATAGTCCCTGCACTTGGCAAGGTAAGGCAGGACAGTGAGGAGTCCAGTCTATCATGGGCAACAGATCTGTTTCAGGGAGGAAAACAATGAGAAAGCAAGGCCCACGGATGTAGTAATTAGCAAGGATATTTGGTTGGAAATACGCTGCACACCACTGGGGTTTTTGAGCAGGGTCAAGTTCACTGCTGTTTGTTAGTCTGGCTGCACCTCATTCCCTCCTGTTGTTGCTCTGGGACTCAGTCTTCTGAGCGGCATCTGCATGCCTTCTCCTAAAACATGAAATGTACAGACTGTGGCTCAGTTGCCTCCCTCCCTCCCTTCCCATGGCTTTTATAGTCAGCTGTACAATAGATGACAGAGATGTTTGCATAGTTGTAGCTCCATTGCTGTCACTGTTTTGCTTTAAAGCATCAAATGTTTATGTATGCTAAGGCAGGAAATCTCTTGTATTTACTGAGTGTAATCACTCCTTTATTCATTTCTTGTTTGGTTGTTACCTAGACTCTTCCATGACCTAAATGTCCCCCTGGAGTTTTCCTTCCACTTCAAAATTAACTTCTTATGCATTTGTTGTGGAGCTTCTGGGACTTTTCATTTTAGTACTGAGGTGGATGCCTGCCTGCCTGCCTACCTGCCAGGAAAGGCCCAGGCCAGGCTGGGTTTGTTACTGAGATGAAATGAGGTGCTGTCACCTTTCTTGCCGGTTCTCTTGCTTTGTTCTCAGGAGACTTTGATTACGAGTGAGTGACGATAGTTATAGATTGTATGAGGTGCTGTCTCTTTACTCCAACCCTCACTCAGCAGACCATCTGAAGTGTCCACATCATGACAAGGGTATATATCTATACCTTGTGAGCACCCACGAAGTCCTACCCAGAAGGGCTGTGATACACAGGGATGAGGGGATGCTGTGAACCATGGGGCCTTTGTTAATGGAATCCAGGGTTTCAAACTACCTGGTTATTTGGCGAGCACATGTGGCAGGTTGACCTGTTTGTCTTGATAATCTCTCTTCATCCCTTCATCTCACTCTCATGGCCCTTGCATGCTGAAATGCTTCCCTTTTGAGTGGTAAAACCACTCATTTTTCAAGACTTGCCTCAGGTTAGCTGTATGATGCAAGTAGTAGGTATTGTAAGAAAAGGCATATTAGCAGTGTGTGGCTCATTCCTAAACCTTTGGTCTGCCTAGATTTCTGTGGGAGACAAAAACCTTATTTTTCTTTATTCAGAGTAGATTGGAACTGAAGTGTGTGACCAATGCTGTTCTCTCCTCCAGATTTCCAGATAAGTCTCAGGTGTTGCTCCCTGTGCAGGACATTTAGGATTGAATTTCTTTTTTCTTTTTTATACGTTGCTAGGAATTGAACCTCGCATCATGCATGTGCCAGGCAAGCACACTACCTCTGAACTACAGCTCCAGCACTCTTTTTTTTTTTTTTTTTTTTTTTCTTCAAACAGGGTCTCTCTGTGCAGCCTAGGCTGCTTTAAACTGTCTGTTCTCCTGCCCGCCACCTCCTGAGTGTTGAGGTTACTGGCGTGCAGTCTCATACCCTGCTGAATTTCTAGTTCTATGTTAAAATATTTGCAAGTATAGCAGAGGGCTTATAAGAAGCGGATTTCGATATTTTCCACCTCTCGTTCACCTTGAAGGACTTGGGGTTGCTGACTGTGTAGATGGCACAAGATCAATTAATGCTGTTCCACTTGACACACCCACAGCACAAGGGAACTCAGACATCGTCCCTGACATCAGGTTACCAGCTAAACCTCTGTGCAGGAGCAACAGCCCATCCTCTGAGACTTTTGTACTTCGTTCTGTATTGAAGAAACCTGATAAACCCTTTGCAGAGGGCTTACAGGTAAGAAGCGATTTCCTAAAGCAAAGAAGTGAAAAAATCATTTTGCTTCAAAGCAGTAATAAGTGTTACTCACCACACAGTGTGAAGGAAATGCCTACTCTCACTTTTTTTTTCTCACTTTTTCTCATGGCATTATGTTGAGATTAGTTTTGTTTTATATTAATATTAGTGTTTAGAATTTAAGTAGACTGCATGTTTATAATTCACAGTGTAAATTAATAATTGTGTCGACAAATTATATTAGTGAACCATGATGATTGTGCCAATTTATGAAATATCCATACCTGGTTTAAAAAGTCACTTAAACCAACTATGTTTCTGTAAGTTCAGTCGATCTGAGAGGAAGCTGCGGGAACGGGGTAGCATTTTTTGAAGGTTTGTCAACATTTCAGCCTTAGACACAGCAGTATACAATTAAACTTTGAAAACTTGTATAAATTCATTTCAGAGCAATGGAATGTAGATTCTCCTGGTCTAGAGAAAGAATTGACTCCGAGGTAGCTGATGAGGTTTAGAGCAGAACTGTTCTTAGAGCACGTGTTGTTCTTGGAGTATGCAATAGGAGCAGCTCTCAAAAATGTGGACTGGAAAGGATTTCTGGTTGAGGCTGGATAAGTAGGTGGTGATTAGGAGAGGACTTTGACCCAGCTGGTAGGTCCAGCTCTCCTGCGAGGCTTGTTCTGTCTCTGTCTAGTGTTTTAGTCCCCTTCTTTGTATCATGCCTGTCTGCAGTCTTCACTGGACTGAACAGAAAGACAAAAACTACCTTCCTTCCGGTCTTATTCCTCAAGAGTATATGATGCAGGCATGACATGTTAGCACTTAAGAAAGGCTGTTCTTGTGCTTGAGACAAAGGCACCTGTTATCTGTCGTTGACCTTTGTTGTGGTGGTACAGTTCTTCTGCTCAGACCTCCTGTTAAGTCTGTCTGATGTGACAGTGACACCTGAAAGCGGGACGGTGGCTGGAGCCTCTCACAGTCCTTATCTGTTTTCTAGATGGAAATGGGGTGATTTTAACCCATATTTATGAACGTCTGTTCTTTAATTTTGACCTACAATATTATTTACTAAAGTAGGGAATTCAGTTCTTCCTTATGCCTGAAAACATGGTGTTATAAGCCAGACAATTAGGAAAATAGACAAGAAAAGAGGTCAGTATTGCTTTTCTTTGTGATGACTGCACGTTTACCTGAGGAGGGAGGTTTTCATTGTGTTTGTTTTGATTAGGAGCACAGCAACAACCTCTGCGATGGAGGGACTCATCCAAACTTGATTCCAGATCCTTCATTCTGTTGCAGAGAACAAAAAGCGGGTAAATTGTTCCTATTTATCCTTCCTAAAACTTGATACAGTGTCAGATTTTCATCATCTGCTCGTGCTTTGCTGCTCCTGGAGTTACATGGAGTGGAGAGCAGTGGCGAGGGAAAGAGTTGTCGTCGGTCCTGGACTGAGGGGGTGGCTCAGGGCTGGAGCGCTGCTGGGGGACCTGCCTAACATGCATGAATACTGGGTTTGAGTCCCAGCACCACATGTGCATACACAGAAAGAGTTCACCTGTTTCACTGTTCATTTTTACTTAATGGTACAGCTTGTAAAGAACTTTATATTCCAATTTTATTAACACTTTAGTTTTGTATAATTTATTTTAAAATCAATACCATTTTTTACTTGAAAGTATGTTTTTCTTCCATTTGAATTTCCTCTGTAAACTGTTTTTTTATTATACAAATAACAACTGAATAAACTTCAAAAATTTTAGGATCTGCCTTTTAAATAAGTACAGCTTTTTTTTTAAACCATTTTCTCATTTATTGTCTATATAGATCAAGAAAACAGTAAAACACCAGTTTTTCTAAATGTGAGGAAGAGGAAGAAAGTTACTTTTGGAGAAGACTTAAGCCCTGAAGTGTTTGATCAGTCATTACCAGCCAATACTCCATTACGTAAAGGAGGAACGCCTGTGCCTCAGAAGGATCTGAGTGATACTAGTCCCCTGCTGCCTGAGCACTCACCAGTTGCCGAACAGTTACTTCAGCCAAATTTTGATGACAACGGGGAGAATCTTGTAAGCTTGAAAAGCACAGAGCACATGTGCTTGTGTTCTCACCAGACCTCACTGCCGTCTCCGCACGGGCACTAGCTTCCTTTCAGACTATGAGACAGATCAAATGCCATGCCACGCCAGGTTTCTATTTCTTTTCTGTACATAAAATGTTTTACCTTTTTACAAATAGTATTATTGGTTGTAAGATGTACCCTTTTTTATGTATCACTAAAAGAAGTGCTGAAGGGGCTGGAGAAGATGGCACAGTAGTTAAGAGCACTGGCTGTTGTTGCAGAGGCCTGGGTTTGGTTCTCAGCACCTACCCACATGGCAACTAACTCCATTCCAGGGGATCCAGTACCCTCTTCTGGTGTCCACAGGCATTGCATGCATGGGCGCACTTAAATACATGCAAGCAAAACACTCGTACGTATAAAATAAACATATTTTAAAAATATTTTACATGTTGAAAATGCACCATGAATTGGACAATGTACTCAAATGTCTGCGGCGTTAAAATTGGGGAAAAGCAGCGGCCATCTTAGAATTGGAGTACTGTATTTTATACGATGGGAAAAGTGTGCTGGAAAAGAATTTAGAAAACCTACAGCCAGATTAATTAGGAAAGAGGAAGAACAATGACCAGTATCAGGAAGGCGAGCAGAGACATAGTGCCATATGTCCTAACATGTATGCAAGAACAGGAGGGACTAGATCAGCAACTCTGTGCCAGCAGATTTAGCAACTTAGGTAAACCAAATACAATCCATGACAGATAAAATGTCAAACTTCACTGAAGAAGAAATAAATTCTTTTAGTAGACCTATATTAAAGAATTCTAAATTGTCTCTAAAACCTTCCCACAAAATAATTCCCGGGTAATTTTACTGGTGAATTTTACCAAACATTGAGCAGCTACGGTGCTGCTTGTAGACACACTCTCCAGAAGCTGAAGCCGGAACATAACATAGATAAAATGATCATTCTTCGGAGCCCTGTGAGAGTTAACCAGGACTGAAAGCTTGGTTTGCCATTTGACAAAGACTATTATTTACCATGCTACCAGAATAAGACAAAAAATTGTTATGATCCTCTCAGACAAGGCAGCAGAAGCAGTGTTCGTTCTGATTAAAAATAAGGTTAGGCAAACGGGTAAGAAAAGGAAATTTCTTCAAACTAACATTCTATCTATGAATGACTGGTTGCTGCTGTCTTCCTGGCAATTATGTGGGAAGGTTTACTGTCTTTGTTTATATTAACATTTGACAGTGGAATTTCTTGAATAATACTGTAATGTTACTCGATTTGTTCCTTAATAGTTTTCTTAAATTTACTTTGTAGAAATTAGACCATGGGATTTTAAATAAACTGCAAATAACTTGTCAGTGGATTAATAGGACTACTTCAGTGACTTTATAAAGAATTTATTTTTATTTTGGGTTGTTACAGTGGGTAGACATGGTATCATGAAGATGATAGTATTGCAAATTACTTTTGTTTTCTTCATTTCTATTGAGGGTTTTGTTTTTTGTTGTTTTTTTGTGTTTGTTTGTTTTTTAAAGCTTACAGTTCCTCCTACCAAGATACATTCTTAGCATTCTTAGCATTTTTCTTTGAGGCACAGCTTGTATGTAGTCACTAAATGTAGGGATATCTAATGTATGCTGCTTTTTTTCTGTTTAGGAAAACATAGAACCACTTGAGGTATCATTTGCAGTTCTGAGTCCTAATAAATCTTCAATAGCTGAGACTCTTTCAGGTATAACATATATGTTTTGGTGTGTGGGCGTGGGTGTGTGGTATGTACACTTGTGTGTGATTGCTTGCTCATGTGGTTGCCTACCGTATCACTGTTTTATTCCTGTGAGACAGGATATCACTGAATCTGAAGCCAGGTCAGCCAGCAAGCCCCTGTGATCTGCCTCCCATAGCAATAGGAGTAGGCATGCACACGACCTTACCTGGTGTTTTTTGCTTGGGTTCTGGGAATTTGAACTCGGGGCCCTCATACCTACAGAGCCACCTCTCTGGTCCAACTTTGGTTTATCTTGTAAATCATAAATGCCATTTTATGTGTATATATGTGTAAGCATGTGCAGATGTGATAAACTTATGTGGGGTATGCATGCTTTTGTGTGCATGCTTATGTAGAGGGCAGAGGTCATCCTGTGCTTCTTTCTTCAGGAGCCATTCACCTTGCTTTGGATGACAGGGTCTATCGTTGGCTTAGTGCTTGCCCATTAGCATAGACTGGCTGTCCAGTGATCCCTGGGGATCTGCTTGTCTTCCCCAGCTGTGGGGTTCTATCTCATGCCACCACATCTGGCTTTTTTACATGGGTTCTGGGGATCTAACTCAAGCCTTTGTGCTCTACCAACACATTACCAACTTAGCTACCTCCCAGCCCCGTAATTACTGTCGTTGGCTTAGTGCTTGCCTATTAGCATAGACTGGCTGTCCAGTGATCCCTGGGGATCTGCCTGTCTTCCCCAGCTGTGGGGTTCTATCTCATGCCACCACATCTGGCTTTTTTACATGGGTTCTGGGGATCTAACTCAAGCCTTTGTGCTCTACCAACACATTACCAACTTAGCTACCTCCCAGCCCCGTAATTACTGCTTTCAATATGTGAAAGTCAGCCTCTTTGTTCTTTGACTTTTTTATGTGGTACAGTATATTCTTGGTTTAAAAAAAAAAAACCCTAGCAATACAGTGTAGAAAAGCTTATGAGAAATGACTTCGCCATCTGAGTCTCATAATCACCCACATTTAACCTAAGTGAGTCATCCCCAAAGTTGATACAGTGCTGTGGATCTCCAGTTGTTAAGTATTAGCAGTAAATGCCTGTCCACACTTGCACAGCTGACATAATTTGGATTGCAAGGGACATTCTCAAATGGCCAAAAGTTTAATCAATAGTAAAGTGCATCTTTGGTGCATATATTCTCAAGTGATTCTGTCTTTTATGATTGTGACGAGACAAAGATTTCTGAATTTTCTGACACACCATGTGAATTTGCCGACAGATGCATAGGGGAGCACTTGGGATCTGAACCTTTGCTCTGTCATCCTTACCGGGATCCTTGGATGCCTTCCCATAGATGCAGCCTGACTTTATGAGCATAGAAAAATCCCAGCTGTACATTAAGTCAGAGTCCAAGCTCTGAACACATTACACTACCTTCATGTGTGACATTAAAACAATCAAGTCAAAAAGTCCTAAGCTTCATAAAATTATTTACTGAACATTGATGCCCCTATTGTTACTTTATTATGCAAAATATAATTTGGAAAAAATGAACATCTATGAAAGTGCATTTACCATATTCTAGATTATTGTAATTTCCTGTTCTCTTAGTGTGGTAATGTGTCAAACAGTCTAAGTTTCTGGATATTCAGTAACCTTCAAATTTTCCTTAGAAAATTGTTTGGGGTCTCAAAATTTATTCTTCATAATTATCTGTGTCTAAATATGATATTATAAGTGATACTGACTCAAACCCTATGTGGTGCTTTTAAAATACGGTGTGTGTTATACTTTTGTGTTAATAACCTAATTTTTCTTGTTTCTTTTTTATTAGGCACTGAATCCTTTAGTTCTTCAAATAACCACGAGAAGATCACCTGTAAAAGTAGACCAACACGGACTTCTAACAGAAGAAAGGTAAATATTTCTATTAAATATTATGGTAGGTTTTTTTCCTGTTTTCATTATCATGGTAATGGACAAAATCCTGATTTGATTAGGACCATTAAGTATTATGACTTTATCCTACTTCGTGTAAGATTAGTATTTTATTGCTCTGACTTTAATTCTGCTAGATGAAAAAGCCACTAGAGCAAGATTCAGAATTGTGTTACTGTGGAAGATGATCTGTTTGTTAACTTAGTTTTAGATATCTGTGATTTTATGAATTGTATTAAGGTGAATGTGGAGACCAGCATATAAATAAGAAAAGGCCATAAATATACTTCTTAAAGTGTTTGTTTTTACTTTGGGTTTCAAGTGATGAGCATAGTTCCCATTTGTTGTGTGTCTTTTGCTTTTATTAAATTACATGTGATTGGACTTTGGCCTCCAGCATTGCGGTTTACAAGTTTACCTGTGCTGTCACTGGGCTTTCAGCTGCTGCTGGATAGTTCCAACCAGACAATTCAACAGGTCATGACCGTCTTTGTCATACCCAATAACATATAAGTAAATAACTAAATTGTTATGTTCTACATGAATAGTTGATGAATTTTTAAACCATCTAATTCTCAAATCATCTTTCTTCTTAATGTAATATCCTTCTGAATCTCTCTTAGATAAATTAGAAAATGGTAATTACTATTTCCCTAACTCTAAATTTCGCTTAATGTGCTTCTAATGGAACTTAGAAATTAAGAAACACTGATTGGGCAAGAAAGATAACTTAGCAGTTAAGAGCGACTTAGCAGTTAAGAGCTTTTGGTGGCTTACAATTACCTGTAACTCCAGCTCCCTGCCATCTCCAACACCAGCATCAAAGGGTGGGGAGGGAGCTGGGCGTATCAAGGGAAGTGAAACGGAAGTGAAAGGTAAGCTACACATTAGAAAATGACCCGAGCTTTGTGCTTTTACTTAAAATTTCTTCTATACCAGTTGGTGGGTTTTGCAGAAGAGAATGTTTGCAGCTCCCATAACACAGAAGCTGAGCCTTGGAAAGAGAAGAAAATTAAGAGGAGGAAGTCCCAAGACAGTAAATGTACCAGCAGAGCACTTCCTAAAAAGAAACTGGTAAGAGTGTTATTCAAAATTCAGTGTACATCATGTGGCACTTTTCCTCACCGTGTGACCAGAAACATGCGGAAACCATGTTTTTTCCCTAGTTAATACTGGATCCAAGGTTAAGATCATCTTATCCAGGAACTGAATAAAAAAGTTAACTACTCAACTACTGATTACCTGAGGGGCAGTTCTGAATTTGCATCATCTTTCTGTGCATCCAGTACAGTAAACTGTAGAGACAGAAAATTGGTTCGCATCTCCCTTTGTTTTTTTACTGAGATAGTGTTTCTTTATGTAGCCCAGGTTGGCCATGGCCTCATTATCTTCCTGCCTCAACCTCTCCAGTGCTGAATTATAGATGTAGAATCTATGGTATAGATTAACTGCCAGGCAACCTAAATAATCTTTCAGGTAATGTTTCTGGTCCTTGAAAGAGCACCATCAGATACCACAAGTTACATGGTTGTCTTCACCAGTTATTTTCTTGTTTTGTCATGGGATATGAGCTATGGACCCTTCCTTCATGGTCTAGAAAGTGGGAGTCTTCCACATTTAGCAGGCTTCGGACCACCTCTCAGACTTAGATTCTGGTCTTAGTTTTAGTGATAAATATTCAGCAGTTAACAGTTCATTTGTTTGCACTCTGGTTACCCTTAACAGTTCTCCCCAGTCAGTCAGTCAGGTCTCCCCACTTTGTCACGCACACACTCGTTGAACTTTGCCTGCTATTTGTGATAGTGACAAAATGACTGTCACAAACAACTGGATGCGGGTCCAGTATTCTGTGAGGGGCTCTACAGCGACAACTGTGTCCTTCCTGCACTTGAAGCTCCTCCAGAGTGCCCAGCTGCGCTGTGCACAGCATGATGTTAGTAACCTAATGCTGAAGAAGTGAGTCCCCCACCCCTGTGTCTTTGAATGAACGCCCCTAGTGGCCATGAGCCCCACACTACATCTGTGCCTGCCTGGTTATCCCAGAGAGGGCGCTTGGACTTGCAGTCACAGTTACTTCTCCTTAAGGAAAAGATTAGAACCCAACCTTCCCAGAAGCTGGCACCGTCCATGTGCTTAACTGATCGAGCATCTGCACTCCTCAGTGTTCTGGCGATCCTGACTACTTCTCTGAAGCCCCTAGGAATAGCAGTTCCCTCTGCGGTCACCCTCTTACCATCCCTCCAGAAGTGCACGTTTGCTTCTCTTTGACCTCAGCCTCCTGTCCATCTACTTCCTTCACTCCCTTACCCATGTATCCATTCTTCTAAGAATATTTCTGGCCTTCTGTCTACTCCTAGCTTGCAAATGCCCCCTCCTCCACCTTTCTTACTTAATAGTTCATCCTGAGCATCTTGGACTGCTCTAGCAGTGTTCATCTGTAATCTCAATTCGCTGTTCTCCTTAGCCCAAAATTTTGACTCTGGATTAGTTTTTCCTTCTGCCACTGCAGACAGGTAGGTTTGGGGGTGGTACTACCATAATATAGTTTCTGATACTGCTTGTAGTTTGGTCTCATTTTACATCACGTCTCCACTCCACCTGGATTTTTCCTGTGCATGTAGTCATTTAGTTGCAAGCTTCATGCATACTTTTAAGTCCTATACTCCATAGACATCTCAACAGCATTTGATGTAAAGAATACTTCCTTGCAATATCTATTAAAGGATCATTTTCCTTCCACCCATTAGCGTATATGGTCCTTGCAGTTCTGCTCTTTACTTTTGTAAATTGTTTATTTTCTGGGTGAATTTTTTTTTATGCAGCATGATTATTAATGATCAAATTTGAAAATCCGCATCCATTAGTGCATTGTTCAGTTGCCCAAGGGTATCTCTTCACAAGCTGCCCTTTATAAGTTCTTTAAACTTAATATTTCCAAAACTCATCACTTTCATCCCTCATGCACACCCACACAAAACAGTCCATGAACTTGTCTTCCATGAAATAGTAAAGACTACTGTTCTTCGTTGATCAGTGCAGATACCCCAAGTCGTCAAATTCAGAAGAAGCTATGAGCTTTCCTGCTTTGTTTCCTTTTTTAGTTCACACTTTGGTGAAATGGTGATTCTTTTTCTTAAAAAGTGTGCGTGTGTGTGTGTGTGTGTATAAAAACATGCATGCCACTTGTATTAAAATTGATTTTATGGCTGGGCATGGTGGTGCAAGCCTTTAGTCCCAGCACTTGGGAGGCAGAGGCAGGCGGATCTTTGTGAGTTCAAGGCCAGCCTGGTCTACATAGTGAGTTCAGGTCAGCTGGGACTACAGGGAGACCCTGTCTGAAAGAGACAAAAAAAAAAAAAATTGATTTTATATATACATATATATTTGGAGAGAGGGAGAGTGTTAAGAAATAGTTATAGATAATGCACATATGTTTCGTCCATCAAATCAGTAGCCAGAAAGTTGAGGAAGTACTAAGCATTGGATTATTCTGGTCCCTCAGGACCTCCTCATGCAGTGTGTGCAATCAGAGCAGTGGACAGAGCAGCAATAGAAGAAGGCAGCAGTGAGGGTGCGAAGCCACAGATGATGGCCTTCGATGAATTTCTAGAAGACAAGGCAGATGGGAATATGTTGACTGAGAGAAGAGGTGGAAAGATTTACAGCTCAGAATGTGCTAGGAGGGGAACCAGAGAGATCTGGAAACCAGCCTGCCTGTGGGAATCCCAAGAGACTTAGGCCCAGAATTGGCAGGTACAGTTAATGGGAAGCCTGAGAAGTAGTACTCGGAAAAAAGCAGATTAATTGATGTCTCATATATGGATCAATCTGCACCAGTGGGCATGCCGCCCCCTTTCCCACCCTGATGTTCAGAACAGATGTTGGCGTCTAAGTTTAAGTCCAATTCTGTCATTTGGAAACTCCCACAAACTTGGTGGCCAGCTGTTGCCCTAAAGCAAAACCTGACAGTTGAGACACTTACACTCTGCCCTGCCCCGCCCCTCCCTACCCTACATGGAGTTATCAAGGAAAATTTCCATGCATAAGACTGAGCTGGAACACAGGAAAATCTTGCCATCTTATCTAGTCTTTTCTTAAATAAGAATCATACTAAGAAGTTTAAAAGAGTTTTTACTTCAGGGAAATAAATTATTTAGGGAACAGAAAAAATATACATACATAATCTGTTAGATTTTTTAATGTCTTCATAAAATTAAGAAGGGGATGCTATTTAAAAAAAAACACAGGAAAATAATTTTTAAAATGGAAATTGAGGGCAGACACCATGTCGGGCCACGAAGGTGTCAAGAAGAAGCCCCTGAAACAGCCCAAGAAGGAGGCCAAGGAGATGGATGAGGAGGCCAAGGAGGTGGAGGAGGAGGGCGGAGGAGCTGGAGGAGGAGGGCGAGGAGGTGGAGGAGGAGGCCGAGGAGGTGGAGGAGGAGGCCGAGGAGGTTGGCGGTGGAGGGGAAGGTGAGGTGGAGGTGGAGGTGAAGGTGAGCCGAGGAGGTGGAGGCTGAGGAGGTGGAGGTGGAGGTGGAGGAGGAGGTGGAGGAGGGCGAGGAGGTGGAGGAGGAGGAGGGCAAGGAGGTGGAGGAGGAGGGCCGAGGAGGTGGAGGAGGACGAGGAGGAGGAGGAGGAGGAGGGGGGGGAGGGAGGGGGGGGGCGGGAAGAGGGGGGAGGGGGGGGGGGGGGGAGGGGGAGGGGGAGGAGGAGGGGGGGGAGGGAGGGGGGGGGCGGGAAGAGGGGGGAGGGGGGGGGGGGGGGAGGGGGAGGGGGAGGAGGAGGGGGGGGAGGGAGGGGGGGGGCGGGAAGAGGGGGGAGGGGGGGGGGGGGGGAGGGGGAGGGGGAGGAGGGGGAGGAGGAGGCCGAGGAGGAGGAGGAGGCCGAGGAGGAGGAGGAGGAGGTAGAGGAGGAGGCCAAGTTTTCAAGCAGAAACAAGAAAAGCAGAAGAAACTTGAGCTGAAAGTGAAGGCCGCAGGGACGGTCCCCGGCCACAGGTGGAATTAAGAAATCTGGCAAAAAGTCAGCTCTTTGTGTACCTGGGGTGATGGTGACCTTCTTCCGTTCCTATTTAAACATCTGGATTCCCTGTGGGACATCTTTTGCCACCTATAGCTGGAATGAAGTGTTGTCGGAGCCTGTTGTACACTGTAACAACCTTTTGTAAAAAACGAGGCCCTGAGTCTGCATCTGACTTACAGCTCTTCCAGCTTGGTACTTGGCAGCTGAGACATTGGTCACTACCAGTGTTCCATGCCCTTGAACCAGGAAGTAGACAGCTACAACCACAACACCCCCATATGTCACCCACACCAAGGCCAAGGTAGAGCAGCTGGCAAAGTGCTGACATTCCCCTAGATTAGAACGGCCCCTCACTGTTTCATGGGATGGTTTGGGCTCAGGGACGCTCTACATCTTGGTCCAGGTTGTAGCTATCAGTACTTTTTTATTGTTGAATAGTATTTACAATTGTTTTAGAAAGAAAAAGATCAGTAGTTTAGACACAGGGCAGGATGTTTTTTCAGGCAAAATGATACAGTATCTGGAATGTGTTTCAGAATCCAGAGGAAGGGTTATAAAGCATAATTTCTATATGTTTATGATTGCTAAGATTGCTTGCTGGGTATATGGGACTCAGTAAACTCTGGAGGTATTTGATGGTTTAAAATCCAAAAAATTAGAAGTGTCGTGATATATTTAGAAAGAGGAAGATGACTACAATCACTAAAAATGGAACTGGCCAGAAGACCCATATCAGGTTAGAGGGGTGTGTGCGTTATCATCGTCCTTATAGTTTGATCAGCTGACCTGAGCTAGAATTCTTTATAATCTTCTATTTTCCCTCAAGGCAACATCTCACTGTGTTGCTGAAGCCCACATTGGATTCCTGGGCTCCAGGGACCCTCCTGCCTCACCCTTTTTTGACATTGTGGTGTTACTGGCACATGACAACACACCTGGCCATTTTAAAGCTGTTACCATTTTAAAGCTATTCTTTGAAAACATCTTAAGTCTTACTTATAGAAATAAAATGAATGATAAGCATAATTTCTGCCTTGGTCCTCCTTCCCTGCATGGTAAACACCTGATTTGGAAGGGAAGTAAATTGCAGTAGGGCCAGTCCCTTCAGCTGTCTGTCCACTCCGGGTGCTAAGCCGTCCTCACCATTTACAGATTGCACCCCCAGGGTTCCGATCACTACATAATAAGGAAGGCTTTTGTACTTAGGTAAATCCAAATTTTGATCAGCACTGCTAGATATATTTTTAGGACAGATAGACTTGTTATATTTTTGTTAGTATATTGGCTCATGACCTTAAAACAGAATCTCCTTCAGACACATTTAGCAGATTTCAGGTAAGCATGGCAAAACTTCATTTTCTTTGACATTCACTCATCCATTCAGTCATTGATACTGTGAGGTCGTAGATCGGTTCTAGCTTGATGGAGCCATTTCACAGTGTACTCAGATACCAAAACATTGTATAGCATACTTTTATTCAACAATTCAAGATTTTTCTAAGGTATTTTTCTCTCTGTGTTCTCAAAGTAACAGAAAGGAATTCGGAAGTTAGAATCGCAAGCACCTAGCTCTTAGTATGGGTCAAGCCCAGTGTGAGCCATTTCATACTCCACTCCCTTGATAATTAGTCATAGCGTTTGTGGGATGAGCTGCTCTGGCCCCATTCTACAGAGGTGGGTGAGGTACTCAGTTGGCATTGCTTGGCAGTTAAGTGATAAAGATAAGATTTGAACCTAGAGCCCAACTGTTTCTCTTTTGCAACTCATCTGCAAACCCCACCTTAAATACTTCTTTTCTCTTGGCTTGCATCTCTGCTGACCAAGCCAGCATTTCCTCAGTTCCATGGAATAGCGACAGAGTTCCATGAAAAACCCAGCATTTTCCTTATATGTGTAGAGATTATTTATGCTGAGAACTTCTCACAGAATTTTATGTTAAATGTATATTGCATATCACCAAAGGGAGTATTTGTCTTATGGAGTTCCAAAATTAATTCTGCTTGGAATGTTGTGTTTGGTTTTGTTTTTATAAGTTATCTATAGATATCTCAAGGAACACACAGTTCTGTGCCATTTCTGTGTTCATGAATCTCATCTTTTCCTTCACACGCACAGTTTGATCTAAGTCTTGTGTGCTGTTTCTTCAGTGTAAGCCCACAGGCGTTTATGCCTGCCATAGCATGCAGGAGCACTCTACTTCCACTGGACTCACTGCATCCTAGGGCTGTGCTGTGTTGGCTGTTGCTCCTGCCTGGATCCCAGGGCCATATATAGCAGCTGCCACGTGTCGTCTCTGTTGAGTGCCTGCAAACACATGTTTCCTTCTCTGCAAAGCCCTTCTCTGCCTCACCTCCACAGTCAGCCAGGACGGTTGTCCCAAGATCAGAGGGGGTGGACATTATGCTTTCCACACATCTTTTCTTGAACACTTCTGCCGGCTAAGAACTGTCTTCTCTGCCTGAAATCTGACGTGGTGTCTAAGTGTAGTGTGCCTTGTCCTTGTTGGACCAGGAGCTCCTTAAACACCACATCCTGTTTATTTTTAGTCTCGGACTGCGGGTGGTGTTTCTTGGCATTACCTGCACAAACGTTCAGCTGTAGTCTGCTTTCTAGAAGCATTAATTGTCAGAAATGTGTTTTATGCTGCAAGTCTGAGTATATTTTCATTCCTTTGATTCAAACAATCTTTCTTGTATTTCACTATAGTATTTGAATGTTCCTAAAGTCTTTTCCATATAAAACTTAACAAAACTATTTCTAAATTGCTGATAGGACATCTAGAATTAAACATAATTCTGTAGTCCAAAATTCTCTAAACATTTTAAAGGTTTTTAATGGAAAATTCACATTTTTTAAAATCAGTTTTCTTATGAAGCCCCCTTTATTCTCTTTGCCTTTTTTTTTTCTTTTTTTTTTTTTTTTTTCTCTGTTACAGTGCTATAAATCAAACCAGGGCCTTTTGCATCTAGGCAAATTCTCTTTCTCTTCCACTGAGCTATACCTCAAGCCCATGTGACCGCTTTTATTTTAACCAGGATTAATTCATTTGTTGTTTGCATACACTCAGCCAGATTTGTGTTGCCTTCCAACGTGATCTAAACACTTGTGTATTCATGCAGGCCTGGGAACAGAAAACAGCCTTCCATGGCCTGTCAGTAGATAATTCATCCAGATTAATGTTAAGCTATCATAATACCTAGCCTCGAGTTTCTCATGAATTAGGTCTGCCCGACTCTACGGCATCTAATCTTTCTTTACTTACCTACCTATCTCTCACTTTGGCAAATGCCTGGTGGAAATAGAAAAAGCTGCTGTGTAATTTGTACATTGAGGTTGACTTTGTATTTTATCTGATTTTACATGACTTATCTTACTGTCTCTTATCTGTGTCATTTGAACCCAGTTTTCTGAATGGAATAATGGATCTTATTTTTTCTGTAAAAGTTATCCTTTAAAAATTAACTGTGTAATTGATAGAGATACCTTAGACATGAAAGGGTCAGAGTTGAACATGTGCCACATCATTCTTAATTACAGTGCCTTAATATATATCTTTTTAGGTTTGTAAAGGTTTCAGAAAAAAGAAAAGAAAGGCAAAGAAGGTTGTTCAGAAATCTTTATATGGAAAAAGAGAAATTGCATCCAAGAAGCCCCTCCTGAGTCCTATTCCCGAGCTGCCTGAAGTCTCTGAAACAACCCCTTCACCTACTGGCCTTCACAGGATACACCCAGGTGCCGTGCCTTGGTCCCTCTGCTTGTGTCTTGTCTGTTCACCGTTTCACTCTCCACTTTCCTGAATTCCCTGTGAAAAAACTGGATTGAAGTGGGGAGGGGCATTTCTTTGGTAGAGTGAGAGTTTTTGAGTGAAGTGGTAGGTTGTGACCTATGGGAGGCTTGAGCCTTTTTTATAATCATAGGACATTCTGGATCCTTTCGTCAGAAAAACTCAGATACAAGATTTTGCATTTAATTTCATGGGAAGTAATTTCTATTCATCTGCTTTTTGCTTTTCCAAGCATTTTGTTAAGGTTCATGAATTATGTTAGGTTGAGCAGTTCATCATTAAAAGTGAACAAAATGGGGGCTGGAGAGATGGCTCAGGGGTTAAGAGCACTGACGGCTCTTGCAGAGGACCCGGGTTGATTCCCAGCACCCACATGGTGGCTATGAACCATCCTTAACTCCAGTTCAAGGGAATCCGAAACCCTCTTCTGACCTCCGCAGCATCACATGACACGGGTGCGCTCACATACGTGCAGGCAGTACACTCATACACATAAAAAAATAATTAATTAATTAATTAATTTAAAAAAAAAAAGAATTGAATCCTTTAGGACCTCTTACCTACCACTCCTAAACCTTACTGGTCATATTTTTCGTCTGTGAAGTGCTACAAACACATGAAATGCTACATACGACATTGTTGCCTAGAGAACAAAGGTTGAGAAGGAGAGGCTGAACATGAGGATCATGGCACATGACTGTCCATAGTATACTTCGTGGGAATTTTTTTTTTTTTTTTTTAATAGAGGGTCCCCCTGTAGCCCCAGCTGGCCTGGAACTTATGTAGGGCAGGCTAGTCTTGAACTCGCAGAGATCTGCCTGCCTCTGCCTCCCAAGTGCTGGGGTTAAAGGCATGCACCACCACTCCCAGCCTTCCTGGGACTTCTTAAACAGAGGGAAAAACAGCTGTGTGCCCTTTAGCTGCTGTGTCCTTACATACCCCAGAATTCTGATTTCTGTCATCTTATTTTGGGAAGACATTGGTAGAAAAGGCTGAGAAGCGTGATGTTGCCTGTTCAGGGAATGGGAATGTGGCTGCCTCACACCGACGGGCCTTGTAGCATGGAAAGTTCATTAGAGGAAGGGAAGCGGTTTAAGATGCTGGGCACTTGTTTTATGGTCTGCGGTTGTGTGCTTTATTAATTCGTGCTTTGGACACCTGTTTTCTTAGCTGTGGACGGGGAAAGAGCTAAGAGGGAGGACTTGACAGGTGAGAGCAGGAACAGTGCTTGTGTAACTTCTGGGAGCTTAAAACAGAGTATGATAAGGCACAGTTATCCAATACACAGCCTGCTTATGTATTAGCCTTTGCATTGTCCCTTTCTATTGTGATTGAATCTAGGCTTGTTTATGTGCCCATAGGTGGTTTCAGCTTAAATGGTGAACTGGAAGAAGCGTTCCCTCTCGACAAACCAATGAAAAGAAAGAGGCTTCTGCCTCCTAACATAGATCTGCCTGAGCATCCAGTGTTGGAGGAGTCTGACGAGTCTGAATTGTGCTGCTCCTCGCCTGGCACTGCTGCTTTCAAGGGTGGGGCATGTGCAAGTACCAAGGACACTGATGGCCCTGACAGTGATCCCAGAGCAGAAAGTAAGCTGCAAAGTGCAGAGGAGCCCAACATGGAGACCAAGAATGATAAGAGCCTTGTTCCCTGTGCTGCTGGGACCAAAGGACACATTGTATCAATTAACCCAAAGCCTGTGTGTGTCCCACAGCGCCAGGAAGTTTTTAGTGATGGTCAAAATGCAGAAAATCTTTGTGAGATCCTTAAACTCTCAGAGCATATGAGTGTGAAGTGTGGAGAGAGCACGTGCTCAGCTGCCAAGGGGAAGCTGCAGTGTAGCCCGCCTGTGCCTGACTCAGAGAAGGAACTTGAGTATTCAGAAGACATCCTAGCCGGAAACATAAAGGAACCAACAAGCCACATCAAGAATGTAGGAAGTGAGTCTGCAGAAATCCTCAGTGCCAGGGAGAGGAAGCATAGAAGATGCTCCGTGTACTGTTGGGGTCGTCAGCATTCACACTTGGAGCAGAAAGGGAATCCTGCATCTTCCTGCAGTGTGGAAACCCCTGTGGAAAGTAGCTCAGGAAATTCCCAGCTGTGTAAAGATTTATCTGACGCCATAGAGCAAAGCTTTCAGAGAACAAACAATGAAACCAAAGTGCGACGCAGCACAAGGCTCCATAGAGACTTGGAAAGCACAGGACTCGTGTGGATGGCGCTTCCATTTTCTTCCACTTCTCAGAAAACCAAAAGAAGAACCATATGCACACTTGATAGCAGAGAATTCCAAAGTGTGTCCTCGGGACAAAGATTGGATGCCTTGCCCTCGGTCTCAGGTGGAGGAAGCAGCGAGAGCCAAGTTGCTGGCTCCTCCCGGAGGAAGAGCTTCTCTGGGGCTACACTCACCAGTGCTTAGAGTACCACACAGGCAGCAGGCTTCAGGAGCCCGGCCTCTCAAGAAGAAAGGCAGGCGCAAACACTCAGCTGCCCTCAGAGGGCTGGACATGGAGAACTGAAGCAGTAGCTGATGCTTCCCAGGCTCCGCTCTTTAGAGGAAGAGATCTAGTGTCTTCCCGTCTGGTTCCCGTCCCGGTTTAACTTCAGTGCCTTACACATTTCTAATAAAATCATTTGAGTTAAATGACTTTTAAATAGAAGTAAGTTAATTTGTCATTCAGAAGGAAAAAAATTACGTACGTTGTTTTCCCCCAAATGCTAAATGCTTGTGTTAGTCTTTTGCTGAAAGAGTTTTTAGACCCAACAATATGTCTCTGAATTTTTATTTCACATAAGTACACATTTACCACTAAAGGTTCCATTGATAGAAATACCCTCTAGAAATGACTGACTTCTTTTTGGATAAAATGAAGACAGACTTTGATGATTTGCCTTATCCGTCTCAGATCACAGTTTTACCTTGGTAGTTACAGTGAGGGCCTATGTGAGACTTCAGAAAAATTCCTTCATTGACCAGAATTCTATAAATCCACTGTTATAAAATTATGTGATTTTAGAAACAACTGAAATCATTCAAGATTGTTCTAACTTTATTGGCTAGGCAAGAGAGATTGGTGTTTGGTTTAAAAAAAAGATTCTTAGATTAGTCACAGGCAGTTTGGGATTTAATTCATGGATTCCCATTAAAGATTTTTTTTTTTTTTTGGAAAAGTAGAAACTGAAAGGTGCTCTAGATTCTTTACCAACATGAAGCATGGCGACAGCCCTGGTTGGTGTCTCTTCACCGCACTTTTCAGCTGTTGATGCTTCTTGTCTCCTCACACCTAGCACTGCTGCTTGGCAGTTCTCTTGGTTAAGTTTTTGCAGTGTTCTCTAGTTTTTTGGTGACAGCAGTTTAAAAATCTAAGTTTCTGTTTATCTGGAATGTGTGAATGTATATAAATCATCTTATCATTAAACAGTGGCCCCAGAAACCCTTTAAATCACCAGCCTCTCCTTCCCCCTGATAGCAGAAACATGTTAACAAATAGAGCTCCCTATAAATAACACAACAGGGAAGAAAGCTCCCGCTGAGCGACCAGGTTCCCCCTTGGAGGTGGAGACTATTTGTTACCGCCTTGGCACCGCCAGGTCTGGAGCTCCTGCTGGGAAAGACTAATGTATTTTACATTAACACGCAAAGTGATCCCCAATTCCTTCTGCTGAAGGGTGGATTGTCCAAAAATTTCTTTTATCTTCACATGTAAATTATTTATGGACGTTTCTCTCCTGTGTATGTGGTCACCAAATCAGTACCACTAAAAACACCTTTTGGTTTGGGTAATTTAAAAAGGTTAAAAAAACAAACTTAGAAGCATGTTAGAGGGTCTTGGGTTTTAAGAAAACAATTTTAGTATTTCTCTTATTCAGGATGATTATTATTTGCCTCCCTTTCTAGTTCATGGAAATATGTCAACTCAGCTGTATTTGTCAGTTTTTACAGGCTTTGAGTTCTCACCGTGCTGAGGAGGAGGAGGGGAAGATTTGATCTGTGGTTTTGACTCGGTTTTTCAAATGTAAATGTGTTCTAATTTTGGAGCACCAGCAATTAATGATACAAACCCACTTTTCGAGTTCGTTCATTTTCAAAATGTCTCATTATGAATCTTTGATTCATGTTTATAAATATCCGTAAACAATAAGGACAGGTCTTATATGCAAAGCTTCGTGAAAAGTGACTTTCTGTATTTGATCATGCTGGCTTGCTTTTTGTTGTTACTTTTTATTAACGGTTAGCTTGAAAACATGACTTCAAAAAATGTTTCCTCATCTTTTTTTCCAGAAGGAACTAACCCTTAGAGTTGAATGCCTCTCGTACACTGCTTGTCCCCGCTGAGTCTCACTTCTTCCACAAGATGGCAGTGTGGCACCTGGGCAAAAGTGTAAAGACCAGGGCTGTTACTGTGCTCCTATTTTTTTTAAACTCGTTTTTATCCTAGAACGATGAGTATTTATGTAGAACGCAGAGTGCAGCACATAATTTAAAAGAAATATTGGCCGCTTTCTTCCTCTCCCACCCCACACAAATATACAGCTCACCTTCCCCAACAGCTTTCTGTAACTGGCATGCATTTTCCAGACTTCTGACACACACAAAAGTATGGTTTTGGTTGCCAGTGTGATCGGTTTATGTGCCACTCTGCAACTTGTATATTCCACAGAATACATGATAAAATACTGTTTTTCAGTCTTCTGTAGACAGCCCTGGTTCCCTTGAGTCTCCGAGCCTGTGATAGAATAATGACATATTTTGGACACCTGTAATGTAGGCAGTCATCTCTTTAGTCATAAATGTGAGTTGTCTCTTTTTGCTACTGAAAATGAAGTCACAAGCTTGTGTGAAAATGAAAGTACAGGAATTCAGATGGCTGCAAGGCGCTCCTCCACGGATGTGAACCCGCAAGCCCCATGCCGCACAGCTTAGCATCTCTGCTTCTCTCGTGGTCTCTCGTCATCAGACTGCTTTGTGTGTGCTTCTTACTCGCCTCCCTTGACTGGAGTTTCAGAACAAGGATAAGCCCTGAGTGGACAGTAACATGGAGGAAAAGATGGATAATGCCTGACTCCTACTTTAAATTGAAAGCACTGGTTTTAAAAGTGCAGCTTGTGGAGGCAAAATAACTTAAAGTTGACTCTTAAAAGAGCATGCTGTTTGAATTTGGGAAAATGTATGCCATCACCTACCACTGACAGCCAAGTAATAGAGCATTTCCATCAGCCTAATATCTTCCCCCACCCAGGCCTTCACAATTGATGATCTGATTCCTGTTGTAGTTCTGTCTTTTCTAGAATGCAACAGAAATGGGATCAGGTCATATATAATTAGTGCCCTTTTTTTTTTTTAACAGCAGAGTGCTTTTGAGATGCATCCATTTGCATGTTGTAAGTTGTTGACACCTGTTTATTCCCGAGTATTGTTCCACCCTGGATTTTTGGATTGTTGGGGGTTTTCTTATGAATAAAGTTTTATGTGTGCATATGGTTCTTTTTACAGTTAGATGTTTCCATTTATCTTGGGTTAGTTTCGAGATAGGAGCTCTATTTGTACTTCCCAGTGACTGATGGTGTTGAACATTTTTTAATGCTCGTTTGCCACCGTATGTCTGTCTTATTCTAATATCTTACACAAGATTTTGTTGTTACTATTGCCATACTGAGTTGTATATTTTATGTAAGCCCTTTACTGGCTATTTTTCCTATGTTTTTCCCCAGTCCATGACGTCTTAATTTTGTTTCCTTAGTATAATCCTTTGAAGATCAGATTTTCATTTTGTTGAAGTTGAATTTATCTTTTTTTGTTTATTTTCCTATAATGGTTCATGCCTTTTGTATCTAAGAATAACCAGGTATATGGTTCATATCTATAATCCCAGCACTGGAGAAACTGAGGCAGGAGAATTGCTGTGAATTCAAAGCCAGTCTAGGATATTTAGTGAGTGCCAGACTAGTCTGAGCTATCTCAAAAAGCTAAAAGAAAAGATTTCTTCCCTAAGCTCAAGGGCACAAAGATTTTCTAGAAGTTTTATGGTTATATTTCTCACTTGAGACTTCTGTCTACTTTGAGTTAATTTCTGTGTATTGCAAGAGGTGACTGTTTTTTGTTTGTTTAAATGGAAATCACCCAGCATTGTTTATTGAAAAGCACATTTATTCGTTGAATTATGTTGACACCTGTGTTAAAATCATATGGTAGGTCTATGTCTGGACTTGATTCTACTTATCTGAATGTGTGGCAAATACCATACCAATGTCACATTATCTTGAAAGCTCCCTCACCCCCCCCACCCCCCATTTGCTGTGAATTTTTATTGCCATTTATGTTGGTGGGGGCTGGGGGAATGGAGTGGAGGCCAGTAGAAACAATAGGTTAACAAATCTGTCTGGGGCCTTCCATTGCAACTAACCCTTCTCCCTTTTAGAGACCAGGAGGCCAGTCAGCCATAAAAGCAGTCAGAGAAATAGTAAGGAAACCAGCTTCCCTGGGCGCCTACACATTCAGTCCAGGCTCAAAATGGACTGGTGTTAGCATGCTGTGAACTAACTATTTCAAGTGTGGCTAGTGCACTGGTGTGTTCATTTTTGTGCATTATTTGATTGTTTTTTTTAATGGACCTGATACAGCAGAAACATTCTCAAAGTGAGATGAGTAATCGCCTGTTCAGTGGACATGGATTTTTAATTCCACATCTCCAAGATGAGATTTAGCCTGGTTAGGACCCTAACAATTTGTTAGGAATGTTTTTGGAAAAACTTAAGAAATTGAAATTCAAGAATTTTCTGGAACTGTTTGTAATTTTTGGTACTTTAAGCTTTATGTCATATATGAAAAGGAAAAATAAATGACCCTGAGTATTAAAGAAAAGCAGAAGTGTGTGTTTTGTAAAGGCTGGTTGGGGCTTCCTCATAAACATTTCCAGTGAACATGGAAGTCCATTTTACTCCTCATTTTCCCAAGCCATTTAAATTGACCAATAATTGGCATTGTATGATAAAAGTGGTCTTTAAGCAGCAACACTTCAGGTCTAAATAGGAGGCAATCAGATTTCTAAATCCTTATGTGTAAATAGAAGTTTGTGAGCAATGAAATTAAAGATTATTTTATCCCTTTATTTCATCCAATAATTGATTTTTATGGCCTTGTTCACCCCATTTAAAAAGCTCTGCCACCTTGAGATATGTCATCATCTTAAGCAATGATTAGATACAGTCATTCCTCTTTAAAACCAAATTGCATTTCCAGTGTTCTGATATTACCCTGAGTGCCTGTTGGTAAACAAGTGTCAGTGTTGTGAAGGTGCCTGAGATGACTGCGAAACATTAGGTATTTGCAGAACCCTTTTTCCAAACGTCTGCTTCAAGTAAGTAGAATCATGGTTTTAAGTATAAAATTGAAATTTCATGACAGAAAGCAGCAAAAGGTTTTTCAGAAGATACGTCTATGGTTTTCTGCCTAACATTTGAACAAATACAACATGTCCACTTTCGAATTGTTCACAACAGTAAATAATCCAGGGCAACCAATGCTGTCTTGTTTTAAAGCATAAATTGAGAATGAAGATTTCAGAAGTGTTCCCTAACTCAAACCTGAAAACCTGGTGTTAGTCTTGGGTGGTTTCCAGTGACCCTCTGCCTCCTCCTTCCTGCCCCCTGTGTAGATTTGGAACTGGGTAGCCATTTTTGTTTTTGGAAGGGAAAGGAGACAGATATAATGAATGGCTTTTATTGTGCAATATTTCAAACTCTCTTGAATGCATTCGAATGGGATGGAAACCGTTCTGCCCTATGTCATAGCCAAAACAAACACAACAGATTCCCTAAACCTGGACGTGTGTTTCTCTCAAACTGGCAACAGAGTTCAGCTCTCAGAACAAGAATTTGGTTTGACAATTTTTAAGCCCTTGTTCAACGGAATATTTGGAGAGGCCGCAGCCAAAGCAAATACCATAGGGAAAATTAATGTACATATTTACAGCTTGCAGGTGACATTTTTTCTTAAAAGTTAGAGATTTGTCTTAAGGAATTGCATTTGTGGTAAAACTTTTAACTAGACTACTTTTGCTAATATTTTTAAAATGAACTCTCTGATAATACTAACTCCCAGTGTAAATAATTCTGCAGAGTTCCCCATAGAGTGATAAAGGCTTGCATTTAAGTATTTAAACATTTAGAAACCACTAAGAATCTGAGAATTTTAAGGCCATCAGACTCAGCAAATATGCACTAAAGGCCCCTTGATAGTACCCTTCTGTGCCCCCAAAGGATCCCCTCTAAGAAGCATCAATGGTTCTTTTATGATGCAAACCCCCAACATTGCACACTGACTCTGCCCACCCCCACTTGCTTTAAGTATCCCTTTGCCTCCATGGGGAGAAAGTATTGTGCAGAATCAAGATAATTCATTTTATAATGTGATTAATATGTTTATTATTAATCACAATAACTTTGGATTTATGGTTACTTAGCTCACAGTTCATGCCTTAACCAAGGTGTAGTGAAACAAATGTGTAAACTGAGCAGTCTGTCCCTCATAGTGGCAAGAAAGGCTTCAACCTACCTATTCGATGTTCCCTTTGAAACTGAAAATCTTAACCCTGACCACTTATTTTGCAGAAGAGTATCAGACATTTGTGTGAATGGAGAAGTTGTCATCGGATCATTCCGTGGCTGTAATAGACTCCATGTCATAGACTACGGATGAAATTGCCTCTTGCATTTTAGTAACCATTGCGTATCCATGCAGACTCCTACTTTCAATGCTGTGAAGTCCAGTTACATTCCTGCACACTAGCCCAACTGGTATCTTCCAGACTTACAAATCCTTTTTAACCACTGGGGTTTGGTGGGTTTTTTTGTAGTTTGTCATGAGTAGGTTTGCCGAGGCCCATGGTGCTTGAGCTGTCAAAACAAACATGATTGTGAGATTCAAAAGGAGAGTAAGGGTTACCCAAAGAGTTTTTGGAATAAAACACTTTCAACTTTAAAACGTCCTTTTAAGTTCTTAGTACTGAAATGTATTGATTACATGCATTAAATTTTTTAGTAACATGGGGCTAACTGGAACGCTGGTTTGTTTATCCAAATTTTACTTTTTTTTGACCCTCTGAGAGCCACAGGATTCCTTTTTAATCGAGTAAATTTTATTTGAGGTTTTAAAAATAATTGACCTCCAAATTAGAGCCCTCTGTTGCATGCTTTCCTCTCAAAAAATAACCTATCTTCCCTTTAAATAAACTTGTCACCTTAATTTAGCTCTGTCCTTCCCTTTAAAATTTGTTCGTTTAGTGTTTTGCATCCTGCAAATCATACAGGACATCCTTCTAAGATGCTGTCCTGTCTCTGGAAGTATAGAATGAGATAGTATATTCTTCCTTACACTACAGACAGAAGCCATTGAGGCAGTAAACAAGGGGAAAGCCTGTGTGTATGTGTATGTGTATGTGTATGTGTATGTGTGTGTGTATGTGTGTGTATGTGTGTGTTTGTATGTGTGTGTATGTATGTGTGTGTATGTGTGTGTATGTGTGTGTATGTGTGTGTGTATGTGTGTGTATGTGTGTGTATGTGTGTGTGTGTGATA